CCAGAGTAACATCAATCACTGTGATGTTACTCTGGAGGAACCTATTCTATAGAGCGCCCCCAGTGAAATGGCTGACCTCCTAGTCTCCGCCGAGCCGTACTTCATTCCCGCAGCCAATAGTTACTGGATTGCGGATGTGGACAGCACGGTTGCGATCGTGACACCAACCACGGCTTCATACTGCCCCCCTTTCACCCTGAGAGAAAGAGGTTCTGGATATTTAGCCATCCGGTGAGCGGTATCACTGTCATTGCGGTTTATTTAGCTCCCACCAGATTATACTCTTAATACGAAGAGTGGATAAACAGGATGGGGGATGTGATGGGCAGGTTAGCCTGTCATCAGATGCTCGTCCTGGGGGACTTAAACGCCAAGCACACGGCTTGGGGTCCCCCAGAAACATACAGGAGGGTGAGCTTGTTCTGGAGTGGGCGGCGGTTTCAGGGCTGGAGTTACTCAACAGGGGTCGCGTCGATGGTATGCCGATCTGTCAGATCTCACGTTTGCGACCCCTGGACTGGCGGGTAGAGTGGAAGGCTGGAGGGTTCTCACGGAGGCGGAGACACTGTCGGATCATCGCTACATCCGCTTTGTGATTCCCCTTCCGTCGATGAATCATAAGTCACTCGCCGCTAGTGAGAGCTTTAAGTTCCCAAGTTGGGCCATCGCAAAGATAGACGATATGGTGGAGGAAGCGTCTATCGTCCAAGCGTGGATATTTGACACTCAGATGGAGCTTACGGACGTGAACGCGTTGGCGGATATAGTAAGCGGCTCCCTTACAGAGGTATGTGATGCCTCGATGCCTAGCTCCTCGGGTCCCAAGAGGCGGACACAAGTATATTGGTGGGCTGCTGATCTGGAGGCTATGAGGACTGACTGTATGAGAAAGAGGAGGGCACTCCACCGAAGTCGTAGGCGAATATTGCGAAACCCAGCGTTGGAGAATGGCCTTAAAAGGGCTAATGCAGATGCTAAGAGTGCGCTTCGGGACTCCATCTGTCGCGCAAAATCGGACGTTTGGAATGAGTTCTTAAAGGGTCGCGACCCTTGAGGCCACCCCTATAGTCTCGTCAGGAGCCGACTCAAGTAGTTTCCACCATTAACGGAGCTTCTTCAAAGGGTGATCTTGCCACTGTTTCTCGCCGAGTCCCCTGAGCTGTCTTTTCTCCTGCCTCCCGCAGGGTTTCAAGAGGCTGTTGTGGAGAATATGGTAGCCTCCAGTCCCTCTGGTTACGGATGGAGAGATGGAATGGGCGGAAGAGCGTCTACGGCTCAAAAAGAAGGCCCCGGGCCCTGACGGTGTTATCGGTAAAGCCCTACGTATAGCGCTGAAGCACCTGGGACCGCACATCCGTGCTTTATTGGACGACTGCCTGCAACAAGGCAGGTTTCTTAGGTGCTGGAAGCGAGGTCGGCTGGTGCTCCTTCGTAAGGAGGGTAAGCCGGCGGACTCCCGATCTGCAAACTGTTTGAGAGAAAAGTGGCAGATCGTATCGTCCAGGAAGATGGGCCGGGGCTTTCAGAGAAGCAGTATTCCGCAAGCAACGTTCCACGGTAGATGCCATACTTGCCCCCAAGAGCGAGTGCAGGAGGGCTACGGAGAGGGGAGAGGTGGTTGTTGCGGTGTCTTTAGATATCAGAAATGCTTTTAACTCCATCCCCTTTCAATGCATACAAGACGCCTTCGCTTTACACAAAGTGCCAGCATATCTCCGCAACGTAATCCTGGACTACCTCAGGGATAGACAGGTCACGTTTGTGGTTGATACAGGGAGGGTCGTGTCTCGCAACATGGTCTGTGTGGTTCCACAGGGGTCGGTACTTGGTCCGCTCCTGTGGAACATGGGTTATGACTGGGTGCTTCGCGGAATTCTTCTCCCCCATATGAGTGTCGTCTGCTACGCGGACGAGACCTTAGTCACCACGAGGGGGAAGATTTTTAGAGAAGCGAAGCATCGGGCGTTCGGCTCGGTCTACGCGTTCTGTTCCGGACGGCTGTACAGCTGCAACTATGCTTGCATATTTGCAGTTGGAACTCGAGCGGAGTGTGTAGGCCGGGTCGGTCTCGTTGCCGTCTACCTCTCTCTTCTAGCCGGCAATGGTGATGCGAGTGTGAGAGGACAGGGAGAGGCGGCTTTGAGGTGAGTAGAACCTGGGAGGTGCCCTGTAACTAGGAGAGAAGTTTCCTTCGCTCCGCGGTTGCGGCGCTGTCGGGGTCCTGGCTTTCACACATTCACATGCACGCAACACCCATTTTCACACAGCTTAGCATACACACAGATCCACACACCTTACATACACAACTACATGCCGTACTAGTCTAGGGTGGTATGATGGGTTCTTACCTGGGTAATTACCTGGGGACTTACCTACTGTACTGACCTGATAGCTGGTACGGCGCCGGGACCTCGGTAGGACCGCAGTTACGGCGCGACGAGAGGGGGTGCGACCCGCTGACCGGCCGGACTCGCCCTGTCTGTTCTTCGGAGCTAATACAGAGCGTGATGAGGTCAGTCTTTTGTGGCCCATCGACCTGCGTGGGGGAGGAGATCTACGATAAGGGTTCTGCCCTGATAAGGGTTTGGTTAGCATTGCACGCTGCCGCCTCATCGTGGAGGTACATCTTAAATATCTCTGATATGTAGCCCCAACCCGCAGAGGGACCTGGCCTTGGGGCGAACCGCGCGGTGCATGCATGGTCTTCCATGCGAGAGACATCGCTAAGTTTAAGTGAGTAAAATCCTGCTACCTGTCTTGCCCCATCTTGTCCCCAGGGTGGGGCCCTCATAACCTGTGGAGCCCGCGCTGGGTGAAGCGGGTATGCGTAACGCATTTCTTAGCATCAAAAGTATCCTGTCATTTGGCTGATGATTACCACCAGTAGGTCCACTATGGCCGTATCGACAAAGTGATATTTTTGCCGGTGTTCGACGCGATTCCCCCGATTTGGATTTTTTATAGTCACCCCTTGGAGTACCGTGTCATCCAGTCTGGGCCTCGTTAATGTCTGTTGTCTTGTCACTTCAGAAGTCTGTCTGTCTTGGGTTTTTGCCTCTTGACTAGTAACAGTCGCCTTACTGGTTTCCTCAGCTCTTGGTCTATTACGGGCTTTCTTTGTCCCAGTTTTGTCCTTCTGTGTCATGACGTGTCGTTAATTTGGCCTTGATTCCTTTCCCCACCCTGTCGATTTCTACGTCGGTGGGTGACTTGTTGCCAGATTTTTCTTATGGGTTCTTTGAGTTTCCATGTCCACATAAAATCATTCATTCATCTTCGTCAGTCCCACCAGCCACGGAGCACAATTGGGGTGCCAATATCAATAATTGGTCATCAGAATTGTGACGAGGATATAGGAATGCAGAGTTTTCCTCCTTGCGCGACATCAGGAGCTGCAGTTGAAGGGATGATAGGCGATCCCAACTATCATTGGTTCCCAACAACCTTGCTCTTTCAGCATGGCCGAAGTTCATCACTGTGATGTTAAGTGACATCCACGTTCCTCGCCGGCGACCCATAGACGGTAGACGCCAGGACCGTTACCTGGCTGGACCATGTGGTTGCCGTCTGGCTGGAAATCAGGGCCAAAGTGCTGTGTTGTATCCGTGGTGCCGCAGCTAGCCTTTCCGCTCAAACACCAGGATCCCTTCATCCCCGCGTACGGCTCTGCTCACAAATCACTTGGCCGCCTCCCTGAACTAAGTAGACTGGAAAGCTGTCTAATTTGGGTACGACAACTTTAGGGATTGTGATGGGAAGTAAGGATGAGGATAGGATAGGATTAGTAAGAATGTGGGTAGGGTTGCGCCTGACTGTTTTAGTTATATCTGTACCAATAACAGGCGGCCACCATTTGAAGGAGACACTCAGACTTGCCTAGGAGATCAACATGACCTGCACTCTCCCCCCAGACCATTTGCCAGATATCAAGACGGGACAGAGTGGTAAAATAGGTGATATGCTAGTTTGGTAATTATACTGAGTACAAATTCAATCTGACATATCCCCCGCCCAAAGTTAAATGATAATTGTTACTATTTACAGAGAAATGAGTTTGAATAACACGGAGCAGACAACAAGTTAGTTTGAATTTTTTTTTTCTACTAATATAAAGTCATCTAATTTAGCACATGAAGAACAACAGAAGACCATTTTTTTAAATGTTATCCTATCTTTATATATTTTTTGTTACCAAAATTTAAACATCGCTTCAATATCACTGCAATTGGATCTTTATGGAAAAAGGGGAAGATTTTGAAACGTTAGAACTACTGCATAGGGCGTGCTTCTGAATTTAGCTTGATGTATTGAACTACTTGTGTAGCGACGGGCAATGAATCTTCTAGCTAATGGGTAGTTGCAGTGACCGCAATTAGGTACTGTGTTAATTACGGCAACTGACTATTGATAACGGTTACTTGTAAAATATTGATACTGACTTGAACGCTAAGTTGCGTTTGCTATCTCATCGATCAATTAAGTAATTAGTTGAGTTTTAAATTCTCACATTTCTTGAATTGTATTATAAGTATTAGAACAATAAAAAATGAAAGCAGCGAAATTATCGAATGTCCTTTAAGAAGTTTTTCAGTGGACGATTCAGGACGAGTAGATATGTAGGTTTTATCGGACATAGAAAGTGTAATCGTAAAGATGATACGTGTGTGAGTCATGTCAGTCCCCAACGTGGCTGACTCACCCGGCTGGTGCGGGCTCTCCCATCCCGGCTAGGTATACCGATCAGGTGTCAACTTAGCTAACAGCCAATATATGCACTCATCATCTAAAATTAGTAAGAGGACAATAAAAATATTTATATTTATTTATTGATACTGGCTACATATTTTTGTGATTTATGAAGTGTCGGATCGTTCCTATTTTATTTCTATTTTATATAATTTCTTTTAAATTAAGTCATAGGTATAATGTTAAGTACCTATATTTGTCTAAATTATTTACAAGCCAAGGGGCATCACAACCATGTAATCAACACTAGAGCACTAGAGAGAGGGGAGGGCGGGCGGAGGCGCGTTGGCTCGCCTGGCGGGGCTTGGATTGTCCAGCAAGGGCGCCTCCTCTATCACGCAGGCGCAACCCACCGACAAGGGGTACGTCTGCGTCTCCTTGCTCTCCGGGTAGTATACCTGCACCCAGTCCGTGATCTCCACGCACTCCAATTTCACGTTGTCGTGATGGGTCTGGCAGCACTCGTTCTTAGGTATGTTCATCTTGGAGCACCACAGGTTAGGGTCCTTTTGACATTTAAACACTTTGATGCTCTTCGGGATCCGCTTCGGGTCTTCGTCGATGTCCACTTTGATCGGACACACAGTCTTGTTTAAGACGGTCGTGATGTCCTGCCTGGTGGGATCCCACGCGACGACGCCTACCGCGACGGCGACGAGCAGGTAGGCGACGAGCGACGCTGACATGTTCACGTGATTGACTTTTGAGTTTGAGTTATGAGTGTATTCGTCAGTGGCTGAGTTGCGAATAGCAGGAGAGGTGCAAGGCGAGAGCTTAAAAGGCGATGGAGAGTAGGCATGGAGGTGCGTGAGGACAAGCTAGTGGGCTCCGGTAGCGGCGGGCGGCGGGCGGCGGGCGGAGGGCTAGTGGCCTGGCCGGCACTCGCGCGCCACGTTCCGTCCGCACGAAACGCCGCGACCTACCGAACGATTAACGGATTGTTATTGTGTGTGTGTGTGTAGTGATTTTAAAATTATGGAATTCTCAAAATATTTTGAAGGACATGTGAATGGGTTAATATTAATAAAAGGTGATCTAAAATGTATAATCAAAAGGTTTCTTGATTTTTTCGATGCTCAACCATTTTATAATTTTCATATTTGTTGTTGGTGTTTTGTAAATTTTTGGTAATATTTATTGTAACATTTTCGAAATAGGTTTTGTTTAACTGTTTGAATAAATCTGTTTACCGATATATGAACAAAAATCTAAAAATGTTGTAAATATTACGATATAAATTATTTATCGCATTTCATATTGTGCTTAGTTTATCTTTTACACTTAGATTATCTGAGACGTTCAACGACATGATTTGTGTAAATAATGTAGTTTGGTGTAAATTTAACGTGACCAATAGCAGTGTTAAACGTCGTTGATTGGCTGACATTCGGACCCAACGGCACTAACGTACGCGTACACGTAATATTTTACATGTATTCATTCATATCAATTATTTGTTTTCACCTCCTGGGGCGAGATATTCCAGTTAACTTTCATATCAATATTTCTATTAGGGATGTTTATCCTTATCCTGTTAATGTATCCATAAGTTATTTAACTAGAACATCGAAACAATGTGTTTTGACCTATATTATTTCCATCACTAACTTTTATATTAATTGTGCATTTAAAAACTAATTTTAGGTTATGACTTGTATATGTGGTATGAAGCTGTATGTAGGTAATAATATTTGTTTTGGCATAACATTTGTTTTATTTTAATGTAACGTTTTATTCTAATGTTAATGAAGTACTTAGTTATCAATAATAATTTATAATAAAACAATATCGTACTATGACTCACCATTTCGTTACTTATTTGATATTAACTGTTGTCCAATTATCTATCTTAATCTCTATATTCTATTTACTGCTGTGACGGGTTCGGTGCTTGGGCCAATTAATGAAAGGCTGACTAGCTTGAGAATGGATTTATTTATGGTATAAAGGATAAAGTAAAGAAACTGTTACAAACAAAAATAAAAATGAATATAAAAGCAGTTTGTATGTTACCTAAATATAAAATTACCAAATAAAACAAATACATACCTTTTTGGGTTTCTTGATAAAAACTTGAATCGTCCAAGTTACAGAATACACTTTTATTATATTATATAATTCCTATTTGAATTACTCATTCATTATTATAGACAATTATTAATAAAATTTATGTTAAAATTATGTGATTTACACGTTACAACAGATGATATTTTTTACGAACTGACATCCATATAGAGTATATTTGATTAGTCAAAATTTTAAATTACGAAAGGTGAATAATAAAAAGAAATGATGTTGAATATTAAAAGAAAAAAAAATTATGCGGATACCTGGGGAAATGGACGGTGGTACAGCACACCGTTACAATGTCACAAAACGACTAGGTCTATCTTACTTTGAGTATCTTTGTGCGCTTTAAATATTAATTATACTTTATATCTCTCCCGAAGATGATTAGGGTTTACACGAGATGCTGCTGTCCTCAACACAGTTCAAAAGTTATTTTTAATAAAGTTTAAGTAAAAAAACTTTATTGACTACCCACTTTTCACGCTCCCGCGCAGGCCGTCCTTTCACCCGTCATTACTCGTTTTGATGTCGTCAAAACCACACGTATTTTTCCTCTTCAATAACTTGTGAGTAAAAATGTTTAATAAATATGTTAAAAAAGTTAAAAGTTAAAAAATTGGTGAATAATTTAATTGTATACATGCCTTCGGAGGAAGAACAATATGAAATAATATAGTTACCATTTAGTAAGGAACGACTATGTACGAAGTAGAAAACAAAGTAAGTTTAAAAAAATATATTATACTTACTATACATTTTTTTTTATGAAAGAACAATAAATAGTCCAATATGTCCAGAAAATAAATATACCGAGCAAATATATATATCTCGACTTTTGTGTGTAGATATTTACAATTTAAAATAAACTATGACCCGACTCAAATCGTTTGAAAACAAACAAGGGCATCAAGTATGTACCCACTTCACCAATATATCAAAAATTATTATATAAATAATAACGTCATTAAATATTTGAATTGGACATTTTTTTAAACAAACAAACAAACACCGGGTCAGGTGAAACTAAATAAAAGCTTGTAGCTTAGGACGACTGACAATTGCATGCTATTGATATATGGCTATATAATAGGTTTAAGTACAACTATGTGTTAATAGAATTATATGTAACATATTTTTAGATTACTAGCTAATCATGGATTATGGTTCCTCTAATACACGTTTTTTATTATTCATACATTATAAAAATATAATTAACAGTAAATTAAAACTACTTATCTAAACTATGTCTTAAAATAATAACTATACTAAATAAAAAATGTCTCCCAGATCATTGCCTACAGGTAAGGTGCCCAGAAGGCTGCGAGCGTTTCCTCTTTGAATAGCTAAACTATTTCTTTGGGCGAGGTACAAATCAGCCTTCTGATCACCTGACCTGTCAAAAAATTTCTTTTTTAATTCTTCATAAAGACGATGGGCTCCAGGGCCCCACGGATGCATCGTTTCGACCGCAAACGGCTCAATATATAGGTATTACATATACATGAATATTTTCGCCGTTTGAGGCTTTCTGCAGCAGCGGCGGCTACACCCGCCTCAAGACATGTTCTTGGAAGATGAGTTGGCGCCAAAGTATCACCGCAGGTGGCATCCCATACTAGCGGTAAACCCATCCACCAAGGTATCAAAGACATCCCATCAGGTCTCTTACCGTCGTCGCGAGTCAGCCCGTTCGGTTCTAGAATGGCTGGTTCTGACGCCGTAACAAGAGCTCGAAGGATGATATCAATGATACTTGCATGCCGAGAGATACGACCAGCACTTCTGCTACAAGATAAGCCGTGATGACCTAAAGAGTCCACCGTTTCCCCTCAAGGGCAAAGATGAGGGAGATTACATGTTGTCCCCAGGCGAAGGCAAACTGAAAGGCGAAAAGTTGTATTATCTAGAAGTGTTCCAACAGTCGGTGATGGCAAGACCTGTAACCAAGACCGGATTCCCACTCAGCGACAGCTAAGAGACTAGCATGCTCTGCAGAATTGGCAGACGTGTTTAATAGATCATTCCGTACCAATTTACAGTTGGAAAATAACTTTTAGACAATACCTACAAACTACCTACAAATGTATAGAAATAACACTTCATTTTATAATCCCATTACAAGTATGTGTCGGCTCGTCCCAATGTTTTTGAGCTGTCATTACTGTTGGAAAATCACTTCTAGATAATATCTCCCAAGCAGTTTTTGCCTCGGCCATTTTGGAGATAGCAGCAGTTGAAGATGTTTTAGACGATATATTTTTATTCAGGTCATAGGTGCTATGGACCGAACATAAAAATGCTAGAAGAGCAACACTAAAAATTTTGCGTAAACCTAAACCTCCGAAGCGTATAGGAAGGGAAGCCTGGTCCCAAATTTTGTCACTAATATCGATATTAAGTATAGTGGAAACAATTTCTTTTATTGCTTTGTCCATTGAAAGTGTAAGGTTTGTGTGTTTCCAAAAAGGTGCTGAACGTAAAACATAGGTAAATTGAGGAACAAACAGACAATAACGCATAATTGTGAAAGCCATTTGATTATTAATTTTTAGTAAACGATCAGCAACTGACTTAAATTTTATTACTTTTTGTTCAGTGAACTGATTGAAATATTCATCACAAATTGGAGACCCTAAAAGTGAAAGTGACTGTTTACATATAATTTTTATGCCCGGAGCTAGAGCATTAAATTTGGAAATTATGGATTCTTTTTCATTGACTGTACTAGGAATATAGAGCTCGCATTTACTAAAATTTTACTCTAGGCCACAATTTTCTAAATTTTCGATAAGATATTTTAGATCTGAAAAAACTGATTCGGCTTCTCCTCCTAACGTTCCATCATCCAGATACCACACATTAAATTTAGAATTTAGATTGGAAATAATTGGATGAATAGCTAAACCAAAAAGTGCCGGCCCAAGTGGGTCACCTTGTTGACATCCTACGGAAGAGAACAAAAGGTGGTTTTTATAAATCAATTTCGCAGGTGATCTATAGCATTGCCATAGGAAATTGTATATAGATGGTGTTTTGTCTTTTATTTGTGTCAACAGGGTGGACCTATCTACCGAGTTGAAAGCATTTTTTACATTACCTTCAAGACAAGATCTTTTGGTTGAATATCTAAGAATGTTCTAAGAGAATGTATTACCGCTTCACAACCACATTTTATTCCAAACCCTAGTTGCAAAGGGTCGAAGTAGTTGCTAAGCGTGCTATGAATTGACTTACAACATATTTTAGCAGCAAGACGGCGAAAAGTAGAACCTACCGCGATTGGTCGGATACCACCATCTTTTTTCTTAAGAGCGCAAAGATTCACACCATAGAGAATATCCACAATCGCGGTATGAACGTTACCTGAGAGCATTAAATTTATAAGTTTAGTTAATTTCTTTAAGAGGCTTTCACCAGCTTCACCATTGTTACCACTTAAGAGATCCTTTAGGTGTTGAGGCGTCAGACCATCTAGTCTACCGGCAGAGCCACCTCTAAAGGAATTGACTGCATCGAAAACATCGCGTGATTCTGTCTGTAAAAAAGCATCAGAAGGAATAGGAGGGTCTGGAAATGTAGAATTTGGTCTTGATGGAGGATGTTTGCTTTCAAGGGC